TTTCCAGCTCTTAAAAATGTTTATTTTTCCCTATTAAACTAAAAATGCGAGCAGAGCTTAAGTCCATTTACGTTGTATCCCTACTTCTAGGCAAACACTAGTCTTTCCTATCACTATAAACTAGCTGGCGTTTTTCAGAATTGTATATAAGAACTGCACAGGCACAAACTGTTTTTGTTGTTTTGACTTTTGTTCAATATAATTACTTTGATATTAATCTTCATTGTCCTGTGTAACACTTGTTCATACTTTTTTTTTGGTCCCAGGAGTTGAACTCAGGACCTTGCGCTTGCCGGGCGGGAGCTGTGCCGCTGCGCTACATCCCTGGCCAGTATCTTCGCACTGCTTAGTATTCCATTGTTTATCCAGTCCTCATGCAGATGGGCGTCTGGGTTTCCAGGCTGGGGCTATTACGATGCTGCTTTAATCAGCTTTCATGTGCAGTCTTTGTTAGGACACACACCTTCTCTTTTCCCGGAGTAATCCCTGCTTCTGGACCATCTGGGTCATGTGGTAGGGTTGTGCATTTTTTTAAAAAAAACATTTTTTAATCAAGATAATTGTAGGATGAACTGAATATTGAGATCCTATATATTCTTTACTGCATTTCTCCTGTTAATATCTTACATAATTATAGTACAATATCACATCCGGGAAAGTACATATAATTCCTTCATTCTATTCAGATCCCATCAGTTTTATATGCATGTCTTATCAAGATAAGTAATAGCTGCACCACAAGAACCCCTCGTACTTTCATAGGCACAGCCACCTCGTGTAGCCCCTGGCAACTACTCATCTGTTCTTTCTGTGTATAATTTTTGCCATTTCAATGATGTTTGTTTTGCTTTGTTTTTTGTACCAGGACTCTAACTCAGGACCTCAAACTTGCCAGGCAGGCACTGTGCCACTGAGCTATATCCCTGATCTTCAATGATGTTATAATGGAAATTACACAATATAATCTTTTGAGACTGGCTTTCTTTTACTCAGCCTAATTCCCAAGATCAACCCAAAATGTATGTTCCAACATGTCCCTTTCCATGCATTCATTTTTAAAATGGAAGCTTCACAAAAGTAGTTATGTGGTTTCTAGCGTACCTGACGTATGAAGAAGTGTGAGTCTGTAAGCAAGAAATAAGGCCAAAGTAAAAAGATTAGACTTAGCAACAAGAAAACCGCAGTTTGGGGCCACTATAGTATAGGATTCACTGTATCCACTTTAGTAGCCTCAGAGATTCATTGTGTTAAACTTTAATCACAACCCTGCATTAAGGAAAATATTATAATATGAAAAGGCACTTTAGATCTGTACCTGTTGCTTATATTACATATTAAATATAGAGCTTTTTGAACAGATGACAAAACCTTATATAGCCTCATCCATTTTTCCTGACTTGGTATAAAAGGCACTTTATGAAAAAAATGCACTTTGTTTTGGGACTTTTTACTGAAGTATGTATCATCTTGAATGCCTTTTAAATTATGAGTGCAAAAACCTTGCCATATATAAAAAAGTCATAGAAATTCCTAAGTCTAGAAAATCAATGCCTAAAGCCAAGACTTACCCTAAACAGTCAAATACTGAGGACTAGAACCATACTCCTGTATTCTAGTTTATGATCTTTTTATTTCTAACCATTCAGTTTTCAGAGGTGCACATACAGATGCTCCATTAATTCTAGGTGAATTATTACCTTCATAGCCATGAGATAGGACTTTTAAGGTATTAGGAATCTGTTTATAATTATTCAACACAGATTGAATGAAGTAATGGACAAAGTATAACAAACTAGAGAAAAGATAAAGGCATCACAATGAACTTTGTAATGGGGTGGAGCCTTATCGTGGCAGAGAGAATTTTAAGTATTAAAGTTAGTGTGTACTAATGGAGTACTACCAGTCATAATGATAACTTTAAGGTATTTGTAGGAAAATGGATGCACTTTGAAACCATAATAATAAATGAAATAAATCAAAGGTTAAATATTGCATGGTTTCTCTTATATAAGAAACCCAAAGTAATAACTAAAAGTAGAAATTCCATTTGACCCAGCTATTGCTCTTCTAGGTATCTTCCCAAAAGGTAAAGATATTACAGTGATGCACGAATATTCATGTTTTATAGCAGCACAACTCATAATGATCGGCTCAATCTTGGAAGAGGTTTATACATCTACCAATAGATAGATAAAGAAAATGTGGTAGGGGCTGGGGATTTAGCTCAGCGGCAAAAGCGCCTGCCTGGCAAGCGCAAGGTCGTGAGTTCGGTTCCTGGTACCGGAGAAAAACCAAAAAAAAA